AAATGTGTGGTCAAGCGTCGTTCAAAGGGCAGGAAGGAAACAGAGAGTACAACGCCATTGTTTCAATGCTCTGTGCTTGGATGTGTTGAAGTGTTCGAAACGTTTTCGCAGCTAGAGCTGCACCTGGACGTTGGAAAGCATACAGTCAGCAGATTAAGCCAGTATGATGCAATCTAAAGGGACTGGGCCCTTTAAAAGTTCTCGTCGATAGATACCGCTGGTATCGAGTGCTTGAGCTGTTCGTTAGATTCCAATACGCCACTCACTTCTCCCGGGGATACTTCGCCCCACTCGTCTCTACGAACCGGATGGGCCGTAAGCAAACCAAGAGGCAGCGTTAGATTTTCAGAGAAGGTAAAAGAATTCCTAACGGCACGGTTTACACTTGTAGAAAGAACTGGGCGAAAGGCAGACCCCGCCCAAGTTGCAGTGGGCATGCGAAATGCGAAAAATGAATCAAATGCACGTTTGTTCATTAGAGAACAGTGGCTGACAAAGAGCCAAGTTCAGAGATTTTTCTCCCGGCTAGCAGCAATGCGACGAAAAGATCGTGATGTGATTGGGATATCGCTGGATGAGGAGGAAGATGTCCAATGCGCCCAGGAAAATTCCAAGACAAGATCTGGTAGACAAAGTTAACGAAGAGATCAACGTCTCACATCCAATCTTCTACGACACATATGACCTCTGTGAACGTTACCACAGTAACACACTTCAGAAATTCAATTTGGTTTTGTTGAGAGCCATCTACAGTCATTTTGAGATCCCTGTAAAATTGAGAGACAAAAAAAAGATCCTCTTAGACAAACTGTCGGACGTGATTAGTGATTGTCGATCGACAACCGGAAGATTTGCCACTGGCCGATTTTGGCCGTTTACTTGAAAGACTTCTTCTGTCGGTAAGGACAAAGTCAATAAATGATAATTTTTCAAGTCGAAAATTACGACCATTGTTGTTTTTGTAATCATGATTCAACGCATTTTTCCATCTTAAGAGTCAGCGCCAACGCACTCTACGATTGTTATTTGAGGATTGTCGATTCATTTATTTTCATTAATTAATGAAGTCGGCTTTTCTTCCAAGTGAAGGGCTATTGTGTTTATATGATAAACAAAATAATTCATGGTTGCTTGTAGATATGGAATTTCTCTTCTCGTGTTCAACTCGACATCTCACTCGTTCGCTGCGCTCACTCGTGAGCTATCGAGTTAAACACTCGAAGAGAAATTCCATATCTACGCGCACCTATGTATTATTCTCTACAACAACGGTAAAAGTGGAAATAGCAGCGAAAACATTGAATTCGCATGGTGTCAATACGACTGGCCAAACGATATCTGATCATGTTTCGAAATCAGTAATAAATGAACTATTCCTGATTAACTTTAACAAAATCCACGAAGTAGAGTTCAATTCTTATTGAATTTTGATAAGCTCGATTACGTTAAACAGATTTCGTAATTTTTAAACAATGAGAATCGCTCCACCTGCGTGCAGGAAATTCATTTTGTCAAGCAAATCAATCGTCTCAAATTATCTTTCCATACTTTCTGTTATAAGGGTAGGAAAAATTGAATACCTTACCCAGAATTATCAATTTAATTAGTCTGAATTAGTCACGTACATGGCTTCGCGACCCCTAATTTGAAAATATCGGTCCATCTTGCGGTCTGAGATGGGTAGTTCTTGCCCAATAACCTTGGCACAAAGTCTCATATCCTTGTAATAGCCCAATAGGAAAGTAAAAAAGTCTTTAAGCCTGAAATTGGATGAATCGCCGTTGAACCAAAGCAAAAGAGCGGGTCTTGGGCTGTGTTTAGGACGTTTGCTCTACCATTCTGATGAGACCGGATGAACAAGTCTGCCTCATCTGTCTTTGACTGCTGACGCAAGGGTGGTTCTCTGTTTCTCTTTTCTTTCCTTTTCGTTTTTTCGTTTTTTTTTTTCTTTTTCTTTCAAGGAGGACTGCAAGCCAGCTTTCCCACAGAGATATTCTTACTCTCCATAAAGTAACTAATAAATAGATAATGACAAAACACTCAGAACAGATCCTTCATGTAAACATCAAAGTTTTCCAGCGCTAGTGACGCACGATTTTGAGGAAGTTTCTCAATTTTCACATTTTAACAGTTGATGCGTTTGTGAAAGCTTATTAAAATTTCCCTCCTTTCCTTTTTTAACCTGTGCAGTGCCTTTTCCTCAAAGGCGATGAATATCAAAAGCTCTTTTAGACGCTTTTTCTACACAGCATCTCTCTCGGTGTTTTCAAAACTGCAGTGCGTAGCTCTCGAATACAGCAACAATACAAAAATGGGTTTACAGATGAATTCATGAATACCACAGTGGCGGAAAAGCTCCATTGCACCTCCCATTTCTGCTTAAAAACTCCAGTCAATGTAATAAATACAAAAAATGGGAAATAGCACAGAATTAGAGCGATATAGAACAAGAATGTGTTCACAGCACTTCTCTTCAAACACACGATGTTATTTCCACTTCTGAAGCCTCTACCATATTTTGCTGGATGTGAATTTGTCTCTGGTGTTTGCGAACGATGCGGTATATACCTACATACGAAAAGGTGGATACCATAAAAAAAATTACGACGATAAATCCCACAAATAAGCGATGTAAACGCTTATTCCAAAAATAAAGTCCCATGCTTGGGAAACTAAACAGCCAAATGATTGCAGCGATACATATGATGCGGTAATACGATTTGGTAACCAAAGTAAAGTATCGTAAATGATAATGAAGAGCGAGAAAACGGTCCAGACTTATAGCTGTTATCGTCAAAAATGAAGCAGCACAGACAGAATAGCCTATGCTTGCCTCGAGGAGAAGTAAAATTGATTTTCTCGAGAGTTGCTGCCCGATGTAAAGTGGCTGCACAACCAGTCCAACGAGAAAGTCAGAAAGTGCTAAGCTGCACATCATGATCATTGAAGAAGAGCGAATGGAAGGGGTTTTTGTAATAGCAAGTATTACCAAAGCGTTTCCAGAAATGGATAGGAGCATCAAAGAAACATTCAGAACACAGTTTATGATTACCATTGATATTTCAGAATTACCAGGTTCTTCACTGAAGGAATCACGATCTCCTGATCCGTTGTTTTCTCTACTGATGTCGCTCATCTTTAATCCACGATTTTAAAGCCACTATTTTAAAGCCCTTTGTTCCACGTCTTCCAGAAGCATATTGACAAAGACAGCAGAGACAGGCGAACCCATAGCTGTAGTCTACGTGTAGCCGTACCCTCTTCCCTAAAGTGAAACGGAACGCTCCCCTCCGTTTCACCTAAGGGGGGGCCGGTGCGGCTACACGTAGGCTACCATAGCTGTACCAAAAACCTGTTGCCGTGCCGTTGTATGCAAATTGTGTGGTTTTGAGGCAAAAAGAGAGCGGATGAATTATATCATCCACAGGCAAAGAAGTGGGCGGAACTACGGTCGACTGCCTCCTCGAAACATTGGTTTAACTGCTGAGCTTCTTCAACGTTAAGTGTTACCAATCTGTCATGTCCAATGTAGTTCCTCTATGGGAGTCTTTCTTACGTGGCTTTTCATCGACGATATGATTACATCAATAATTTATAATTATTGAAGAAACTAAATTGAGTGATTTAACAGCAAATTTCAGGCTTTTTGATGAACAAGACATTGAATAGTATACGAAGCTATATCTGTCAGTGCAATATGAATTATTTTTGGGCCATTCTACAGCCTGCATTTATTTGTTTATCTGTCGTCAAACTACGAACCAGAAGGCTCTTAAGTTTTTAAATTTGAATAGTGTGCTTTGCACCTACAAAAATTGACTGATTTATCGTGTGTGTTCTCGCATTTTTTTTAAAAATTACTTGACTACGTTGCACATTATAATAAAAGAGATTTCGCTCTTTGCAATAATAGGCCATCGCATTTTATAATAAGATGGGCTTTCGCACTTTGTAACGACAGCTCTCGCACTAAGTAAGAAACTTGATACCAATATGGACAGAGGCAATGACAGCTGTCATTGCGAACGATAATGATTTTAGTATTAGCATAAACAATAATAAAACTGTTAACAATAATACTAACAAAAGCGCGATAAAACAAGACGAAAGGAAGTCACTTAGAGGTCAGTAACATTCTCATGGTTATACCGCACGTGCAGGGTCTAAACTTTAAAATACCTTCATCACAAGAATGAGGAGACAAAGTTCTCCAATATTGCCATATCCCTCTCATAGTAATGACAGGTGCCTGCGAGTTCGGTGGGAAACCCAATACTACTGTTGATATGCAATTTCTACATGTATACCATGTCATAACCTATCAAATTAACGATCGGCAGCTCCATTCTACTATTTAAACAGTTAATGCACTCAGTCGGCCAAGAATTTTTAATACTTATGTATATTCAAATTTCTTTTAGAAATTGAATTTTCATCTGTAGCATCAAGTCTCAATATCTCCTCCTAAATTTCCTACAGGCAGATGCAATGTATTTTCAAAAGGAAAAAGGCAAAAAAATAGCTGAGAGGTGTTAACAGTAAAAGAAACTGCTAAATAATCGATTTGATAGAGACAACGCAATACCAACTTAGGAAATTTGATTTTACAGTTTATTGGTTTATACAAAATTATTTGGTACTGCACATTAAAATAGGCTTTGGGAATTCTCAACGAGACCTCTTCTATTCCTTTTGGCGAGAAATTTTGAAAGCGTTTTGGGTATAAACGAAAGGCAAAAACTTTCCCGTTTATTATTCTCACTAATTTTACAATATCTTCCGATGTCCCCGATCGATTCAATTTTGTTTGTTCTTGGTGCTGCTGAGCTAGCTAATTAAAATGCAGCTTATCGCTGCACTAAGAAGCCAGAATTGTCTGACAAAAGTTACTGTTTTTGAATTTAATCAGTGGTGGTGCATAACATATCTCTTGCCGTCTTCACAGCTGCAACCCGAAGCTGGCGGATACGCCAGCAAAACAGAACTGGATTCAGGGACGAGTTCATAAACACAACGGTAGTCGAGATGGTCCATTCCGTTTTCCATGTGGAATAAGAAATTCCAAAAAGGAAGAGCAAAATATACGAGGGAGAGTAACATGCAATCATGGAGATATAAAAAACGAACGTGTTCAAAGCGCTTTGTTTTAATCGCATTTTTTCTGTGCGATTCTGAATTACGTGACTTTTTGTAGCTTGTTCTTGAGAGCGGATCTGCACTCGATGGCGTTGGACGATTTGATAAATTTTAATGTAACAAAGCGTGGATATTACAAGACAAACACCGGTGAGTATCGCGAAAAGTAGGTGAAATCCAACGTTATCCCATAAGCGAAGTCCTGAACAGATCAAGATAATCAACGACGCCGCAACTATAGAACAGATTACTCGGGAGTTAGTCACAAGAGTTGCATATCGCAAGTGATACTGCAGTGCAATAAAACGATCTATGCTAATGGCTGTTATGGTTGCGAGAGAAATACCACATAAGGCGAATCCTATCATTGAAGAAAGAGCGTTTAGAACATGATTCTTCATAATGAGCTCATCTGCAATAAACAACGGCTGAGCGATAAGGCCTACCAGGAAGTCTGTAGTAGCAAGACTAGCGAGCATGATCATTGACGGAGAACGAATCGACGGAGTCCTTACAATGGCGGCAAGAACCAACGTGTTGCCCAGAGTTGATACAAGCATGAATGGCGCATTCAATGCACAGTTCACAACGACAAAAGGTTTGGCGTGAAAGTTGTGATTTCCTGATTCGCGGTTTGAGAAGTTAGTGTTATTTTCCATCTTCAAGTCATCTGTCTCTGCACAAATGTTATTTCAAAGTTGACACAGCAAACCAGCTAAGTTAGAAGTGATTTAGTGTTAACAACTGAGTTGAAAACGTAAATTGACCACCGTAAAGGGTAAAAAAGCTGACGTTTCGAGGGTTAGCTCTTCGTCAGAGCGATTGGAGGAATTGTGGGTTGTGTGTGGGTTTATATGCAGAAAGTGGAGCTACGCTATTGGTGGGAGTATGGTGACGAGGAAACAAGAATAAATTAATTGAATGCAAAAAGGGTTGGTACAGACGCACCATAACTTATTGCAGTACGTGCAAGTTATGCAGTAAATGACAATGGCGGAGGTACACGTAAAGTGATCAGTGATCTTAATGGATCTCTTGGGTCCCGATATTTTCTCTTCGTTATGAATGAAAGACCAAGTTGTGCATTGTGAGCGAGCGCATTTGAAAGTTCCAGATTGGTCATTGGTTTGAAATGAACTTCTAACCAAAAAGTTGCCCATGTTTTTGTTACGTTTGAATGAAATTAGTGGGGGTTGCAAAAAGACGGTGCCCGTCTCTTATCGTTTTGCAATAATTTAAAGTTTTTAAGAATGATAGATTTAACTGCCTGGTTGTGAGGGTGAAATGTGAGAGTGAATAGAATGCGGTCAGTGTTTTCCTTTTATCAGCCGTTTGTAGTGCCGACTGTCGATCAATTTGTTGGGCGTGGTGGTAGCCCGCTTGAACGACAGAAACAGGAAAACCACGTTTATCGAAAAACAGGCATATTGCCTCTGATTTTCGGCAAAATCAGAGTCGTCACTACATAAACGACGAAGTCTGAGAAACTGTGGAAAAGGTTTGGAGTTCTTGACGTGTGATGGATGCGAAGATGAACACAACAAGTAACAATGTGAAACTGTAGGTTTGTAGTAAACACTAGTGCATAAACCTTTGGCTTCAATTAGAATTTTGATGTCTGGAAAAGCCAAAGAAGAGTCGGAAATTTCCCAGGTATATTTAAGAGCCGGGTGAAAGGAATTGACAGTGGTTATAAATTGAGTGAGCTCCTCTCTGGTAGAGGAGATAGCGCCGATGTAGTCGTCAATGTAGCGGCCTTAGAGTTCAGGTTTTGGGCCGTGGTATTGACTAAAAAATTGATGTTCTGTAAAAAACCCTACGAAAAGATTGGCCTAGCTGGGTCTCATTTTAGTGCCCATGGCCACGCTATTAGTTTGTTTGTAGTAGTTACCATCGAATGAAAAGCGATTGAGTGTAAGTACTAGTTCGGCTAAACGGAGTAGTGTTTCAGAGCTTGGTTCCATAACAGTATGATGATCGAAAATATGTTTGAGAGCCCGGAGACCTTCGTCATTGGGAATGACGGTATAAAGAGATGTAAAGTCACGAAAAATTTCAAGTGCGTGTTGGATGTCCTTAAAGTAAGATGGTAAAGTTTTGACGAGAGGTGCCATAATTTTGTCTAAATAGCTGGAAACAAGTTCGGTGGGACAACTGCAGGCAGAAAAAATGGGTCGACCTGGGTTGTTAGGTTTGTGGATTTTAGGTTTGTGGATTTTAGGTAAAAAGTAAATACACGAAGGTCTAGGAGTGGTCATCTCAGGTTAATTAAGGCTGGGTCAAAAATGATTTTCGCCTCCAGTGTCCCCCAGCAAGGTTCGCGGAATTCGCGTGGACTGCGC